CTAGCCTGCTGCCTGGTCGGTGAAAGCTGTGTGAGCAGCAATCAGCCACCTTTTGTCTTCCAAGCTAGGATGCTATCAGCAAAATCTTTGGCGGGAACTCGAGCTTTTCTTTCATTTCACCCGGCAGTAAAGAAGTATCCTTTGCTTCTGTACCCTAAATGTCAGTAGAGCGCAAGGGGGTACCCTGGACTTCTACCCCACCCCATCTATAAATAAGTAGATAGCACCTTTCCCCCCCCAGCATAACACTGGCTGTATTATAGTTTGCATATTTGTACCCCCTAAAACTTGTGTTGAAATGCTAGCCCCCAAGGTGTTAAAAAGTAAAACCCTTTGGGAGGTGATAAGCTCCATTATAAAACAGCCCAAGGGAACTCGGTTACCCAGTGTATCACATAAGGACACAGCTAAAGGACACCATCAGTGAATGAACAGCCCCTCCCTACACGTGGAGTCTGCTGATGCCTTGGTGCTGGCCTTTCTAGCCTCCAGAACTGTAAGAAATGAAATTGTCATTGTTTATAAGCTGCCCAATATGTCAGTTTTTATTAGCATTCAAAATAAACTCAGATACTTAGTGTCAAGGGAGGCTTACTTATTTAAATAAGATACAGAACTTTCTTATGTACTAGGATCTAACTGAAAATCATTTGGTACGTGTTACAGTTTGTGTGTTGATGTTCCCCCAAAGCCTCATGCAGGAATGGGGCCGACTTCTAGAGCGGATGCTTGATTCACGGTCCGATGCTGGGATTACAGGTGTGAGTGCTACACCCACCCCAGGGCAGGTACCCTGCATGTGGTGTAAGGGAGGGAAGGAGGCTTGCTCTCTGCTGCTCCTCCTTTTTTCTCTTGCTACTTTTGTTGTCTTCTGCTGCCGTGAACTGCTGCCCCTGTGCGGTGCCACGCTGTTTTGGAACCAGCTGATATGAACTGAAATGAGAGAAAAGTAACTAAGGTAATATGCTAAGAGCCAAAATTATCTGATAAGCAGTAGCAGGCATCATAAAAACTTCATTAAGCAGTAACAAGCAAGTTAAAATATAAACTCAAAGCAAAAAAAAAAAAGGATATGAAGATTTTATTTTTATTTTTTTACTGGGGATTGAACTCAGGACCTTTCACTTGCCGGGCAGGCGCTTGAGCCACTGAACTATCTCCCCGGCCCCTAAATGAAAATTTTAGAACTGGGAAAATTCTCAATTCTATATTAATCTGTTGGATAGACTCAACAGCAAGGTGAAATAATCAGAGGAAGCACTCAGCAAACTTGAAGATAGAGCAATTTTGAAATGTCCTACTTTGAACAGGAGAAAATACACTAATAACAAACCTCAAAAATGCAGAACCTCAAGGACCAATGGCACCATCTGTAACAAAACATCTATAATGCATGTGATCAGAATCTCGGAAGGAAACGAGATGGAGTTCAAGGCTAAAGAGAGAAGTATTCAAATGCAGATTGTTTCAATAAATGATTGAAATTTTCACAAATTTGGAAAAAGATGTGAACATATAGAATCAAAAAGCTGAGGTAATGTCAAATAGGATAAACACAAATCCACCCCAAAACATGATGGTCAGACTTCTGAAGGTGGAATTAAAGTCTTGAAAGTAGTCAAAGAGCAATGAAAACACCCTTTGGCAATCACAGTGACATTGGTTATGTGCACAACTATGGAGGTTAGAAGAACTGGCGTAGTTTCCAGGTGGTGAAAAAAATAAAGAGCTGCCAACACAGAATCCTGTAGCCAGCAAAAACACCTTCAGGAATTAGGAAGAAAGTACAACATTCTCAGTGAAAGAAAACTGATGCAGTGTTTCATCAGGCCTGCCATAAAGGAATGGCTAGAGGAAGTTCCTTTTTTTTTTTTTTTTTTTTTTTTTGTGGAACCAGGGATTGAACTCAGGCCTTACACTTGCCAGGGAAGCGCTTATTCCACTGAGCCATCTCCCCGGCCCCTAAAAGGAAGTTCTTGAAATAGAAAACAAATGGCACTGCCAGCCATGGTGGCACGCGCTGGTCATCCCAGCACTTGGAAGGCTGAGGCCAATGGAACTGCTGCAAGTTCAAGGCCAGCCTGAACTGCATATTGAAACTCTGTCTCAAAAGGTAGTG